GTGGAAATGTTTATTTCACCTTTGGGGAACCCCTACAACCTGTTGGCTTCATTTCACAAAGTTTTTTTCTTTATTCAGATTGGAGAGCTGCAGGGTGTCAGCGATCAGTTGCTATTCTCTGAGCTCAGCTCTGAAGTTCAACTCTTCCCACTTGACCGAACTGGACCTGAGTCAGAACCCCCTGTCTGACTGTGTAGTGAAGGAGCTCTGTGGTTTCCTGGAGAGTCCAAAATGTAGACTGGAGATTCTGAGGTCAGTTCACTGCAGCTGTTGGAGGTTTCTGCTTGTCCAAGTCAGTCACTGATCCTTTAAAATGTATCTGCTGTTTAAAAAATATTTTATTTGTAAAGTTTAATTTGAACACGTTTGTTTTGTTTATTTCAARCATCTAACATCTAAAAAAAAGCTCTACCAACTGAGCCACTGTGGCTCAGTTGGTAGAGCTGATGCCTCTCAAGAAGAAGGTCGCCGGATCAAATCCCGGTCCGGGGACCTTTCTGTGTAGAGTTTGCATGTTCTCTCCATGCATGTGTGGGTTTTCTCCAGGTAATCCGGCTTCCTCCCATAGACCAAAAACATGACTGTTAGGTTAACTGATAACTCTAAATTGTCCCTAGGTGTGAGTGAGAGAGTGAATGGTTGTTTGTCTCGTTTGTCTCTATGTGGCCCTGTGATGGACTGGAGACCTGTCCGGGGTGTACTCGGCCCCTCGCACTGTGACTGSTGGATATGGGCAGTGACCCCCGTGACCCTGAAAGGAAGAAACTGGTATAGATAAAGGATGGATGGATCTAACATCTAGCAAACATTGGAAAGCACCTGGTGCCCAGGTCTCTACCAACAGGGCCTAATCAGGCTCATCCTGAATGACAACATAGGCTTGCTTTCCTGTGGGCCCAACTACTGCAGGAGRGGCCATAGGAGTTTGATGCATGATGTCATAGACAGCAGCTGAACGCAGTAACACTGGGGCTCTGTCCCTGGCTTACCAAAGCCAGAAGAACATGGAGTCACCTCTCTGGTGGGGAAGGACCCTGAGCTTCTTCGTGAGGTTTAGAGGTACGGACTAAATATAGTTGGACTCACCTCAGTGCACACCATCAGCTCTGAATCCAATCTCCTTTCACTGAAAAAAGGATTTTTGGGTGTAGTAACATTTATTTAATTATTCTTTTAAATTTTACAAAA